TTGATATAAAGAGGTAGAAGAAGCACCTTGTTCATGTCCAGCAGAGGATTTGCTTTGACAGTTTTTTCCAGGCACGAAAGTGTTCCTATACTCTCACCTCCAGTCCTTCTGCATATAGTATTTGAAGTCAGTCAGGCCAAGGACATCAGAAGTGAGTGTTTTTGGACGACTTCATGCCTTGGTAGTTTTTTTTTCATCTTAGTACTATCGTGGTAGTACTTTTCTCAATGCTCATCACTCTTAGCTCTGAGTTTTGGAGGGAAGTAGTTAATGCGTAATGGAGAAAACCGAATTTTGAGTTACATTCGACATGCCGTATCCTCATAAGCCCGTAACAACTTATCGATACACTGTTGGTAATCTAGTACCCGTGTGTTAACAAGGAAGCCATGGCAGACTGATTTAAATACTTCCCATACTCTCAGATCATTTAAGGTCATTCAGATCTTCCTGGGTGATCAAGTGGGTTCACTGCCACTTGCTCCTGAATAAACAGTTTTAGAAGAAGCATTGAAACTAGTTTTATTTGTTATTGTTATACCGGAACGTACCTATTTCTATTGTAAATAGACTCTCCCACAGATAATAAGTAGTAGTAGCAGTCGCCAGTAAAGCTCAGTGAGTTGTGTGAGTCAGTCGATGTCGGACATTAAAGTATCAACCATCACAACTAGATTGCTGCGTTATTAACTATTATTTCAAGTTCCTAACGTTTTGTACGTCGAACCTAATTTAGGACCGACTGAGTGAAATACAAGCCTCCACTGTGAAAACTACTCTATAACAGTTATACAAAATAACAATCATCCGCATGGCTTCATGGAACTCTCCAGAGAATCGTGACAGCAAAGTTGAAGGACATATCCGATAGCCTTGAATGCATATACCTGCATACATTTACGTTCATGTATACATAAAAAATAGAAGCGATGAGGAAAATTATCTCTGAAATCAGAACAGGTTAAATTTCTTTGTAAACCAGTGTTAAACCTTAAAATGTGACAATCATATCTTTAGCCTGAACATCTACTATAAAAACGAAACTCCAACTGCAAAAAAAAAAAAAAAAAAAAAAAAAAAACGTCAAATAAATTTAAAGTACGAATGGGCATAATTTTGCCAACAATTCTGCCATTATTTCAATTATTCAATGTTATCCTTATGTCTTTGTGTATTTGTGGCCATTCTTAGATGAATGTGACATTGGATCAATAGTGAATTAGAGACTAAACTGAGTTGAACAGTTTGTGTAGTAACTATTACTCAAGCCAGCTGGATGAACTGTATTTAAAGGATAAAGGGGGTTCGGGTAAAAGATTAAAGCTGTCTTCAGAAGTCTTTCTGATTAGATTGAAAATATTTATATTTCCCACACTAAATTTTCATCAGATACTGGAATTTACTGAAGATGTTTTACTTGATTGTGAAAAGAAATTATTTTTAGCATTCAATGTTATCGATATTTTATGTTGTGTATTGCATGTTATAAGAACTATAAGATTTTAGATGAATGTGAAAAACCAAAATTGCAAAAAAAATGAGAGAGAAAGATTTTTTTATCAACTTACAAATAATGAAAAGAAAAAAACACGTACAAATAATCAAAAACCCTCTATAAAGAATGGTACAAATCATCAGAGAAAGACAGAAGAGAGAAACACGCACTAATTTTCAAATTAAAGAAAAAATCAGAGATACAGCACGAATAAGGTTCAGAGAGAGAGAGAGATTTAGAGAGATTGAAAGATAATATATATATATATATATAGAGAGAGAGAGAGCAGTAGAAACACGTACAAATAAATGAAAGAGAAAAAGGAAAACACGAACGAATAATCAGAGAGAGAGGGAGTGAATCCTGAATAATCAAAGATCAGAGAGATAGAGAGAGAGATAAAAGAGATTGAAAGTTTATATATATATCGCCGATCTTTAGAGAGATAACCTACGCACGAATGATCAAACTGAGAGTAAATCAGAGAAGAAATAAAAACATGCACAAATAATCTAAAGAGAGAGAGAGAGAGATTAACACGTACGAATAAGAGAGAAAATCACGAATAACCAGAAAAGAGAAAGGTGGGAGAGAAACGTACGAATAATCAGAGAGAAAGAGAGAGAGAACCGTACGAATAATCAGAGAGAGAGAGAGAGAGAGAGATAGAGAGAGAGAGTTTTGAAAAACTGAAGAAGAATAAATTAGCACCCAAAACTTAACTTAGAACAACTATTTTTATGCTTGCATCAATTTCTTTGTGCACCAGTGTTACCCTTAAAATGTGACAATCATATCTTTAGTTTGAACATCGACTATAAAAACGAAACTGCTACAACAGAAGGCCTGAAAGAAATTTAAAATACAAATGGAAATAATGGACGTAATTTTTTTCTGAAATTCTGAGCGTCATTATTTCGATCATTGAATGCTTTCCTTATTTTTGTTGTTTGTGGCCATCCATAGATAAATGTGATATTAGATGAATAGTGATTTAGAGGCTAGACTAAGTTTAACAGTTTGTAGAGATACCATGAACTGTATTTAAAGGAGAACAGAGGATTCGGGTAAAAGTTTAAAACTGTCTTCAGAAGTCTTTCAGATTAGACTGAAAATATTTATATTTTCCACATTAAATTTTCATTAGATACTAGAACTTGCTGTATTTATTTTACTTGATTCTGAAAATAAATTATTTTTAACATTTCTCGGATTGAGGGATCGGAAAGCCGAGTTCGGATTCCAGTCGAATCCATTACATTCATTTACGTGCTAATAGTCTTGGGAAAGGTATGAATCCTCTTCTTCTCCCCCCCCCCACATATGGGTAAATAGCAGGACAGACCGTGTTCTATAGCTTTGGATGGCAACTGGTTTACCGCAGAAATAAATGTCAACCTACTGCGGAAAAAAATCAGCCTCGTCAGTCATATATCGAAAGATACATGATCGTCTAAGCATATATCACGTATGGCACATAACTGACTTATTTGTGTATTGAAGGTTATATTCACTCGTAATCCTTAACTGAATGTGGCATTAGGACAGATTGATTTTTCACTTTCTTTTTGACACCAGAAATTAGATTCATAGCCTCCACCAATTTCTGAGCATTTAGCTTTAAACATCGTCTGAGAGAATATACATAAACACTTAATTTCCGCGGGCTTTTGCTCAGAAACTGAATTCAAAATTTTCCTATTTCAAAAATAAATACAAATAAGGTTAATATCTTTTGTATTAGATACTTTGAAAGGAAAATATATTCAAAACAGAATTGTAATTATGAAACACCATAAGTAAAATATACATTTTTTACAGTATTCAAAACGACAAAACATAAGAATATTGAAAAAAGTAATTAAAAAATTAAACCTTATCTGACATATTAATAAAAGACTCACTCACTCACTCACTCACTCACACACACACACACACACACACACACACACACACACATATATATATATGCCCAAAAATCATTGATATAAAACAGAATTGATTGGCTAAAACTATCGTGGGAATTTTGAATGCAGAAGGGGTTATCAGGGAGTTAAGTTTTACACATCAAACAATGTAAACGTGTTATATCGCGTGTGGAAACTACTTGCTCTCCAGTGGGGGTTGGATAGCAACACCACTGGCTAGTTAAAAGATGTACCCCTTAACGGCTGAATAGAGTAGTAAGTTAAAATTCCCTTTATTGATAACTCTCTTTTAATTCCGAACCAAAAATATTTCGCTAGCCGGCCGGGAGAAAGAAAGAGAGAGAGAGAGAGAGAGAGAGAGAGAGAGAGAGAGAGGGGGATATGTAACAGTGTATTAATTGAGACTGTGTCGCCCAAGAGAACACCAGAAGAGAGGGATGTATACAATATTTAAACTTATTCACCATTCTCTTGATGTAGATTATCTAAAAAGTAAAGAAAGGAAAACTGTGGTTTTAATCTAAAGGCTTTGATTTGATTTAATCATTTTGTTTTAAATATGGCGCCCTGTCGGTTGGGACCAAGGAAACTGTTGGATCCACGTGCAAAAGGAATACCCCCCATCCCAAAAAAGGGAACACTATACCTAAGTCTACTTTTTGAATCATTTTTTTTTTATTCTCGCGTGAACGAATCCATTTTTTTTTTTTTACCCACGTGCTAACCAAACCTGTGTCTGTCTGTTTGACTCTCGTGGAAACAAAACTTGTATGTACATCTTTATTTATCCAAACGACAAAATTCTTCGCTAAGTAAAATGAAAAAGCCGCAAAATAACCGGGAAGTATTTGATTTGATTTGCCATAAACGAAACTTTACATATATAATAAGTTAAAAAAAGGTATAAATAAAAAAAAAATATTGACAATGATGGCGTGCAAAGATCTCATTATTTTTTCCTAGAGTTCTATAAAAAAAATAAATTTTTTTTATCATAAGAAACTAACAAACCCGTTCTTATTGACACGTTTTATTTTATTTTACAGATATAAGGCCATGGAACAAATGCGTCAAATGCAAAGAAGATTGTAATTGTCCACCAGGTAAGTAAAATAATGAATTATTTTGAAGGTTTTTCGTAGCAATTTATTTACCCTAATTTCAGCATTGTCAAAACAGAAAATGAATTCATTTTTAACATTTTGATAAAAAGGTCTTTTCTTTATGTGGCATCATTTAGAGATTATTATATTGCATGTAAAGAAGTTGAAAAGATCGTGAACTACTCAGAGTTGAGGAAAGATGCTGACAGAATGTGGAATTTGTATGAATCATCACGAGCTACAGCAGATATACGGCGGAAATGCTGGCAGTCTTGGGACTTGACAGAGATTCTCTTAAATTCATTTGCGCTATTTCAAATCATCACACCATACAAAGTGCAATAATAATAATAATAATAATAATAACTACCCCTCTCATTTTTCTAATTTCGTTTTGAGTTCTTTCTTTGAATACAAAGCCCTAGAAATAATCATGCTAGCATCGGATATTTAACTCAGCCGTGTATAACGGCCATGATGTGGTTTTGTCTTTCTTCCCTACCGTCGAAATGCATGTTGGCACTTAAATTTCTTGTTCATATTATTTACTTATTTATTTACTAATTTAATTAATTTATTTCTTTATTTTCGTTTACTGTTACTCACTCTCTGAGTTTAGAATAATTTTCTTTGATGCCAATGCGACTCATTGCTCCCCGACCTCTCATTCATTTCAATCTCTATTTGGTGTTGTTTGTTTGAATCTGAATTCCCCGAAGCGATCATGCTAGCATCGGACAGTTAACTCAACGTCATATATCGGCTATGTTGTGGCTTAGTCTTTGTTTCCTTCCACCAAAGTGTATGTTAGCACTTAAACTAAGTTAATTTTTTTTTTATATATATATACTTTTTTCCTGCGTGTGTGTAATAGGAGTAGATAGGTCTACCTATCGCCCGGTCAATACTCCTCCCCCTTCTCTTGAACAGGTATAGAGGCTCATCCCTTGTTTCCTATTTAGGAAGGGGTTTCCGAATCTTTTCCTTTTCTCTGGCCTCTGTATTAGTGCTGTCGTGGATCCCTTGTGATATGTACAGGCTGTGGCAACGTCTCTTCATACTGAGGGTACCGGGTTGACTGTTCTCTGGTTGCTATTCCCGACTGTAGTTAAGAGCCCTAACTCTTGCGTAGCGTCTTGAGCGGCTGCTCTGATCAACAGTTGCATAATATCGGGGTGCTTGTAGTGTCATGTTGCGTATGGAATGGTGTCCCCGCACGCACCTCCGGTAGGAAACCCCAAGGCCACATTATGTTGCAGGCTGCGCCAGCTCCTATCTGCCCATCTTACATACGGTGACCGTTCAGCTAATATTGATTTAGGCCCTCTCACTTTCACTACCAACATTACCCATCATGACTACAAACAATCAAAGAAATAAACCTAATCCAGCTCTAAAAAAAAACCCACCTAAACCCTTAAACATATCCTTCACCAACATCCGTGGCATTCGGACCAACTTCTGCAGTGTGGAATCGTTCATCGTTGAGAAAACTCCTGAGACCAACCTTAATTCGTCAACCCCCTCCTCTGACTTCTCGATTCCCGGTTACCTTTCTCTCCTTAGGAAGGATTCTGTTGCCCACATGCATAGCGTGGGAGTTTACGCACGAGACCATCTCCCACTGGTTAGGGAACTCTCTCTTGAATCTCAGGATCATTCATACATGTCTCTGTCTATCTCTTCTCAATTCTATAAGCTATCTCTTCTTTCTCTGTCGCTCTCCATCCTCCCAAGACTGTGGTGTCCTCGATAGCATTTCTGATAATACAGACAAGGCTATCTCTCTACATGCGTCTGGTAACATATTTGTGTTCAGTGACTTTAATGCCCACCATACCAAATGGCTTAAACATTTTGTAACTGATCATCCTGGCATACAAACACTTAACTTTTCAATCTCTCACACAAGTGGTTGACTTTCCTATGCGTTTCCCCAGTAACCATGATGTTAAGGCTTCCCTTCTTTTATCTCCATCTCCGAGTCTTATCGTGCCACGCAGCTCTGCCCTCTTGGCAACTCTGATCATGCCGTCGTGTCTGTTAACATCTTCTCTACTCCTCCCCCGGTAAAGAACCGCCTAGCAATAGAACATCTTTCTGTTATCAACGGGCACACTGGGATTCGTTCCGTGATTTCCTTCGCGAGTTTTTAATCCCCTCGTCAAAAAAGAAATGTGCGTCTGCGGTCTCATCCTGGGTAAATCCTGGAATCCCTGCAAGAAAATATAAAGCGCCTCGTTACACCTGCTTCGTCACACGCTGTCCGTTGACATGAGGTGGACAAATACATTGAATAAATGGCTTCATCTACCACAAGCAAAATTGGTTCTCTGCGTCGTGCCAGAAAGTTTTTCTCGTCTGAGTCCATCCTTCAAATCTATAAATCATCCATTCGTCCTTGCATGGAATATTGCTGTCATATATGGTCTGGTGTCCCCGTTGTACGTCTCTAGGTCCTCGACAAAATCCAGAAACGAATATGCAATACGATAGGTCCTGATCTGGCACTTAGTCTACAGTCGCTTTCTCACAGACGTGCCGTGTCTTCCCTCTGTGTCTTCTACAAGTATTTTCACGGCAACTGTTCCGACGAGCAACATTCGCTTGTTCCAAGACTGCATGAATTTAAGCGAGCTACTAGAATGGCATCTCGGTCCCACCCTTTCACTGTCTAAACGGTTAAATGTAACCGTTTCTTCTACTCAAACAACCTCTTCTCTCGCACTTTCCGTCTGTTTGCTTCCCTGATAACTATAATCTTCAAATATTCAAGTGTAATGTCAATCGACATCTTCTGATACCTGGATCCTGTTCCCTGTCCGTCTCTCTATCCTTTCCTCAAACACGACTCTTTACTTTTGTTCTCAATCCTCTGTAACCCCTTGCGTGCGAGTGGCACTCCCGCCTTGCTTAGGATGAATTGCTTAAAAAAAGTAGTTAAAAATAAGTGAAAAACCTAATTTCTATAACG